TACGTCACGGCCGTTGGAAATCAGAATCGGCAAAGGACGGGTATATTAAAGACTCAGAGGAGAGCAGACTACTAGTGTCCAAGAAGATCGGGATCTGATCTGTGGTAGTTGCATAAACTGGATTGTAGCCCGCTCTTTGTTCATTCTAGTATAGTATAGTGATTGTTTGATAGTGTGCACAACTGCACTTAACCCTAGTTCATTATTAGTCAATTGGGAGTGGGCGGGGGACTTGGGAGATGTATTTTATGTCGGTTGAACGTAGTGAATTAGACAGAAAATAAGCTCCCTAAGGATGCATTAGCATGACATCACAATTTGGGTTGTGTGGGTGGTTGATATTTAAGGAAAGGCAGGGAAGGTATCTTCAATTCTAAGTCAATGTGCACACTGTGGTGATTGAGAGGAATTTGGTTACAGTAGATCAGGAATTGAGGATTGATCATAGTCCTACCTTGCTGAAGATATATATATTTCTTTCCCTCATTGTTTTGGTTGATGCTAGGTAATCTGTGAGTGGATTGTTAGGTTTTAGCATTGTGTAAGTGACAGGGTGTTAAGCCTGGTTGTGTAGTGTCTGTGAAGGCATGTTATCTTGTTTGCTATTTTTCCTTTACAGAGATTTAGATGATGGCAGCTCAATTCAAAGGCTACACAATGGATCCAGCCTGCTTATGACTACATCGAATTGATAAAACTTTATTATTTAATTCTGTCCATTTTCCAGTTATTGTCTATCAATCTGCATTGTTTTCTTTATTGTTAGGTTTTTTGTCCCCCGGGAGGTTTTACACTGTAGAATATGTGTCTCTAAATTGTTTGAACATTTTTCTGTTGTTTTTGGTATAGTATAGTATAGTGATTGTTTGATAGTGTGCATTATTAGTCAATTGGGAGTGGGCGGGGGACTAGGGAGTAACAAAATTCATAAGCCTTAGCAACCACCCGCCCACGCTCCTTTACGTAGTGGGTGTGGCCACGGCAAACAAAATGGCGGCTTACACGTGGACAAAGTTATGAGCTTTCTAACAGCAAGAGAACATGAAGATACTGTCTAAAGACTTCTCTACAAGCATCACAAGGTAGAGAGAGCCTTTATAAGTCTTAATAAAAATTAAGCTGTACTTGCAAGGTGGTGAAATCAATTATAGGAATATTTTTTACACTGTTACGCTTGTTTTATTTTATATATATTATATTTTTTGAGGTCCAAATGCCATTTTAGGAAATAGACGCCCGGGCTTTTATTTAAGGCAATACGGCATATATATATATATATATATATATATATATATATATATATATACCTGTTTTGCTTTGAAGAGATGATCGTAAATGATCTATTTCCATTTGCATTGCTTTTGCCATCTTCTTCTTACTCTCTTCCTTCTCAGACTCTAAATAATAAAAATGAACCAATTAAATTATTGGCAACAACAATTCAGCTACATGATGTATTTATTCAAAATTCATGCACATGACAATATTCATAGATATCATGTCTCAAAACATGAATCTCATTATACCTGATGATTGTATTGATGACTTATTGCTTTCATCAACTTCTCTACCTTCATATAAGATACCTTTAAATTATCAATAATTATGATTAATAATAATTAGTATATACCTAATGTGTCTATTGCATCCTTCAATTTAGCATTCTCCTCAAGTAAATCATCTCTTTCACTCTCTACCATCTCCAGTTTCTTCATTAGACTCTTCACCTCCTATCAAATATTAAAGTATACTATTAATTTATATACACATACATTCACTAACCTCATCAATTGCATCTTCATCATACACAGTATAGTAACCAATAGTTAAACTGATCAATCCCATCTCCTTTAGCATATCAACGTTATCTCTAGCTGTCACTAGTAAACTCTCCATCAGATAATGAGGAGCATAACAAGTAACAATGATGGAG